TTTTAGAAGCAACAAGTTTGCAAGAGGCAAGTTTACCACAACCACCATATTCACTTCATTCAGTTCACGCCCAGGGCCGATAAACAGGGACATGATCAGGGTGTAAGATAGACAGGTGGGGAAATGGCCCATAGAAGCCTACCGCAGCGCCGTGACCGCATTGTGTACTCGTCTGCTTGCGGGTACCCCCGATTTGCGACAGATGGCGCTGCGGCGAGAGGAAAAAAATCGGAATCTGATTTGCATGAAACTCTATGGGAGAGTGCGCAAAATAAACCGAGAGCACGACAGTCCTCCATTGAAAATCCACGAGAAATCATCTCCGTCAGTTTAGTTGGTCACCACCGGTCGCCTACCCGGAGTGAGAGTTCGCGGTGCTCCACATAGATGGCGCCACAGAAAAGGAGAAAACCGAGGGGGACACAATCCGGTCGCTCATTTGGCCCTCGTTTCCCCACCTGTCAATCTTACACCCTGGACATGATGGAGCGATCGCATAAGACCGAAATCATGACGCTGTTGACTGCTCGACATTAGAAAGATGCTCTTTAGTAGGTCGTCGAAATTACGAAGGCTACAACTGCGTTACTTTTTTTTTTTTTGGCAGTATTTCACAAAGATGTTGAGAAATGTACACCTCCAAGTAAAAAGAGTTGGTGTAGACGATAGTTATATTCCACGAGTCGCATACCTCTGGTAAGGCTATCCTCACGGAGTAAACGCAGCACCCTTTGCTACACCCTTTTTACACCTGCCGAAATGAAGGGTGTTCCGCGCAACAACACTCTCTTTTGCGATTACTCGAAATAAGGGTGATAAAAGAGCGTTGTCACGGATGTAAAAAACCCTGAAACGGGGTAATACATTTTAGTGCGCACACACGAAGACCGCTACTGCGGATAATATGCCGCTGCTGTTTCGGGACGATCACAATCATCCCTGAAGAAAGAACAGAGTCGGTTCCAAAACAACAGGATAATGGAGTTTTTTTTTTTCTTCTTATTTGTTTTAACAACTAATTGCCTTTGACATTAGAAAACGATTTGACGGCACGTGTCTCACGCCAAGGCATCCCGCAGTGGAGACGTTTCCTCCGTCTCTGTTAATCTTAAATTTAACCATGTTGCTATACTTACTATCCTTTTTTTTTTTTTTCCGCAAGTAGAAATGTACAAAATGTAAGCTTTTTTATATAGATGAATAAGAGTTTTTTTTTTTTCTTGGTGTCTGTTCAATAGAGCCTTTTCGAAACTTCTTCAAGCAACATTGTCGGTCGCCATTGCTTGGACGCGAAGCGTGTGATTGGATCCGAGTCCTTGCCGAATGCTGACGTCACACTCGTGTCTAATACGAGCTCGGACTGCCTGCTCAAGCAATGGCGGACACTCGTCGTCGCGCAAGTTTCGAATATTGTGAATAGCGCCCGTATCATCGATTTAAGACCGTTATGTTTTTGTTTTGTCACTGTTCCGAATGAAACGTTGCGCCGAACTGCGTAGAAAACAAACGGCGTCGCCACGTGCCCGACTTCCTTTCTATGACTTTCCGTGAGTCGCAATGGCAAGCGGCAGGGTCGCAAGCGTCGGTTGTCGCTCCTTGAGAAAGAAGCAACGCAGCCACGAAACGCGTAGCTCTCGAGTACGGTACTCTAATATTTCTAATCACGTATGCACTGTGCGCAAACAGTTGACTCAATACCGATCTCCTGCTTCAGGCAACGTCTGGGTTGAAATGCTAGATTATCCGACGATTGTGCTCGCGAGATGTTGTTGAGCGTAAACTTCACACTTTAATTCAGACCTCGCAAACTTTTTTTTTTTTTTTTTTAATTTAATTTGGCGCCTGTTTTTTGTATATGCTCTACTTTAGGTGTTGTTCCTAACGCCACCGCCCGATTGACCCTGACATGACAGCGCGGCCTTCACGGCTTACCGACAATTGACCGCTTAATCGATTTAGATTGTAGCATTCGTCCCGCTTCCATATCCATTTAATAGGACTGATACAATCGACCAGATTTTTGCTACCTGTCGGCGTGAAATTATAGATGCTTTCTGAAGGAAAAAAAGAAAACGGAGAAAAAATGAAGTACCTGCTTGAAAAACTCATTTCTTATAAAAAAATAAATAAATAAAAAAAATAAACGGAGTGATAACAGTTATTATGAACTTGAAGAATAACAGAGGCAAGGACGACCACGAGAGCATCTGCCATTGTCATGAAATCTAGAGCAAACTCATAAATGAACGTTTTCGAAAGCGAGCGCATTTTCTTGGCCCACGCAGCAAAGCCAGGCCTCGGCACAGAATACGATTGCATGTATCGGCAAAGCGGTTGTGTAATCGAGCCAGCTGTCCGATATCACCGCGCACTTTCTTCGCACATCCAATGTTGCTGACACATTACTGATTTAGAGAGGCCTTGTGCGCATATCTTGCACTGAGCATATGCACTGGACGGATGCACTCGGAAGATAAATTCGTTTTACTGAGACGGGTTGCGAAAGGGCGAGAGGACTTTATGATGTGTCGTCTGTATTGTCTTCTGTTCCTCTTTCCGGTTCTAGATGTTTTTCTTGCGTCACTCCAAAATGGCGACTCTGGCCGTGGAACAGCGCGTGCGCCGCTGCTCTTCGAGAAAGGATTTCCGTGTTTTTCCTCCCGTGGATTGTTTTTAAACAACTCACGGGAGTTACGGGAAATGCGCATGTGCTTGTTTACAAACACCGAGTTCGTTCACTGCTCTCCAAAGACACGCGTAAAAAAAAATATTCCTTTCAAAAATTGAATTGATAAAACGTATATGGGAGGGAACACCTGCCTCAATACACGATCGAAGGACACATTGTTCTCCGAAGAATTGTTTTGTACAGCGAAGCACTCGAACACGCCCGGGGTCAGCGATCCTTTCTGATTGGCCCGTGTTTTTATATAAATAATTAATCGTGCGTGGTGCACTTCTTCGAGTACCTCGAATGGCGCGGCTACCACACGTAAACATTAAATAATAATAATAACAACCTTTATTTGCAGGGGAAGTGTTACCCCGGGTGACCTGCGGGGCTTGAACAGGAAGGCGAGAGCGGCGTGCGCCTGTTAGCCTGCCACCGGGGCGGGGTAGAACAACATAACAATAACATGACAGTAGTTACGATTGTTTGAATTTTAACGAGAAAACAAAAAGGGTGAAACGGGGATACACCCACAACGAATTCTTCTACAGCGAGAACTGCTCCTCTCTCGTAGCTTCCTTCGCTATCCTCATTTTCTAACAAAACGAACGACTAAATATTTTGACGTGTTTCCAGATTCGCAGAATTGGTTAGTCTGGTCGGTGGGCAGCACAAAATATCGTGCAGTGACGACATCGCAATTGAGGGGAAGTTCCTCCCACCCCTTTCCACTTTAGCAGAGCGAACGCTGGAGAGAAGGTCGGCCTCCTCTCCAGCGTTCGCTCTGCTAAAGTGGAAAGGGGTGGGAGGAGCTTCCCCTGAACTCTTCGCGTGTCACCGACTGTAGTACTATGGACGAAACTTTAAGCAGGCAAGAAAATGGAAATTCACCTCCTCGTAAACCCCCCTCACAAAAAAAAAAAAAAAAAAAAAAAAAAAAATCTGCGCACTTGCTTTGCGAGCAAGTGCGCAGAGTTCAACATTGCCACCTTTCAGGATCACCGCCTTCATTCTTGTTTCATGATCCCCCGAATGGCATGACGTCAGTGGTTATGAGAGTACGTCACGCTTTTTGCTCTCCCTCCCCGCTGCCGACAAACTGGGGAAAAAGGATGAAAGGCTCGCTGCAGCTTGTGACGTCTTCATTCCCTGGCGGATGTCCAAAAATCTTACTTTCTCCGAGACGGTGGCAATTTAGTACGCCATATTCGGAAGATCCGACCCTCACCGTTCGCGTGTCAACCGTTCAATGTGTCCTTAAATTTGACATTTTCTTTAACAATACTTTCAAGGCGATGGATCTGCACACAATAAATCAATATATAGCAGAGTTCTCGCCACCAAAGGAATCTACCTAGGGACGTCATTCCCTCACGACGCGGCCGCCCGGTCATGTTTGGATTCTCCGTGTTGAGCCGGAAGATCAGTGCATTCAGTTTTGTTGAAGCTTTAGCTGAGGCTACTGTGTCAAGGACGTTGTGCGCCCTACAAGGGAGAAATCGATAACGACAAGGAAAAAAAATATACAATGCGCCGTCTCTTCGCTCCCATCTTTACCGAGGCTCGTGGCACTCATGGCCACTTCATTTAAAAAAAACGCGATGAGAACCCCGACGTTGCCAACCAGAAATAATTCACTGCCGAGCACAATACACAACGCCCGACCGCAGTTGATGTCGCCCTAGCGACTCGCTATCGACTGTCCACAATGCCAACAAAGCAGCAGGCTGGCAGCGCCAAGCAGCGCGCACGAGCGAGCCAGCGAGCGAGCTACCTGCGTTGCCCGCTAGTGGGCCGGTTGCTAGGCGGCTCTGATTGGTCGCGGCTATTTCGTCATCTTTTCGCGCGCGCCTCCCATTGGCCAGCGTCCCGTGACGCGCCGCAGCTGGAGGCCACGTGAGGGCAGCAGCAGCGTCGAGAAACAGCCCGAGAGGAACAGCTGGTCATCAATGGTGGTCTCTGTGTGCGACGGGGTGGCAGTACAATCCGCTCGTGTGCGTGTTCTCGACGTTCCAGCGAACCTCAAACGTGTTTCAAACGGCACTTTGACGGTGGTGCGGCCTCAGTAAGGATATACACTGTGTACGCTGACAAGGTAGGACGCAATATACCGTGTGTTTCGCGCGTAGAGGTCGAGCGAACTGCGGCCCGCAGCGGGGGAAGGCACCATTTTCGTTTTTGTTTTCTGTTGGCCTTTCGCTCGGCCGGCTGCTGCCGCGGTAGCCTTTTACGAAGCGCCGGTTTCCTCTCCTTAAAGCAAAACGCATACAAGGAATAAAAATCGATGGTGCTGTACCCTCGCCGTCTCCCCCTCCGTTTTATTTTTTTTATTTTTTTTCTCGTCTTCCTGGAAACGCTACGGGAGTTGGGTCACGCGGTTTTTTTCCGATGGGTTCCAAGCCGAAGCTGGCTTCAACAGCGGCGGCGCCCGACTACTTCGCTCGCTGCCAACGCTGGGCTGCTGCTCGTTAGCTCAGCTGGAGCTCTTGTGGAATCGCTCCGATTGCGGCGGTGCCTCCCCTTGTGTTCTTGTGGAACGCCGAGGTCTTTATTTATGCATCTCCGGTCCCTGATCTGTCGCTGGGAGCCGATCACCCTGCTCGCTTGCCGTGAGTACTACTTTGCCGTATAACTTGTGGAATCTCACACGACACCGAGCTTCGGCGGCCCACGTACCGTAAAACTATTTTACGGGACATAAATGACCGGATTGTTATGTGTGGCATGTCAAAGCCCTCGCTCGAGTACGCTATCGTAGCATAGTACTAGTACAGATAGGGTCCCGTTTCGCAGATAGCCGTATCGTGGTTTCGCGATGTGCTGTAGTTAGTTTGTTGCTGGCGTGACCCACTCTTTATTTGTGTATCTATGCAACGTTAAGGACGAGCTCGTAAAATTGATGTTCCTGAACTTGATCGCGCGTAATTTGGGGGGTCAATTTCTGTAGTACCGTTTTTAAAGAATGCAACGTACATACAAAATATGTGTGAAGCATTTGATCCCGGAAATCGGACTATGGGTCCTTTTCTACGGTTGGAAGCTTACGACACATTGAACCCGCGGTCTTTAGTTTTGATTATAATGCAATCACTACATGGGCAACTAGCCAAACGAACAGGACAGCGCAACTTGAGACTGCGGTATTTTCTTTCTAAAGTGAACCCCTGACCCGAGGTCGAAGTAACTGCGGGATTCCGAGCGATCTCATATTTTTCCTCTCTTGCACGTGCCTCGCGCGGTTACACTGTCCCGCCCTCTTGGAAATACCTAAGCAGAACAATCGTTTCTTCGTTTAAATTGGTCATACGCAATTGTGGGCTACTTCAATAGGATGTATTCATTGGACGCCATATTTGAGGTGACTGCTTACAGCACATGCTCGGTGTGAGTTCTTATTTATGGTATTCCAAAGAAGACAATCTTGGTGGTGTTTTTTTAACATGCGTGTTGGAAGCATTGTAGAAGCTTACCGTCAACACGTGCTCAGCAGCAGGGAGCTCAACTATGACCGCCAGTGAATACTGCCCATACCTCAAGCTGAACATATAAGTCTTGACACCACTGATCAGTGCTTGACACTTGGTCTCCACAGCATAAGTTCATACTCGTAGTCATCGCATTATTGTTGCAGCAACGAGAAAGATAATACATAAACACTTAATCTCTTTGAACATAGAAAATTTGGACTTTAAAACTATTGATGCATATTTTATGTTCTACTGATCCTGGCTGATCACAAAGACAGAATGAAAGTGGCCATTCAATAAACCTAACTCGGGCAAACAAGATTCAAAGGATTCTAGTTGAGTTTGTTTTCAATGATTATAAAAGAAAATGCTGCAATGTGACAGTTCTCGAGGTTTTATTATTTTACCTGGGTGTCAAGTGTTATAACAAAATGCATAAATCAACTACATGAGTGACAACAAACCATATAGTTCCTTGGAAATATGTCGTGAAGGTGACAGCATCAGTGTGTGTATGGGTGCACAGGTGCTGCAAGCTTATAGTTCCAGGAAAGCAAGCTGTGTGGAAGGAGCGAATTGTGACTTATTTGTTGAGGAAAAAGGGCTTATTCTGAAATGAAGTCAGGCATGCTTACGCTAAATATAGGCTGATGTTTCACGGTTCCCTGCCTTTGGCATACTCCGCATGCCGAGTCAGCAACTTCCGAGGAAACCTTTCTGCAGCTCTGGCAGTTCACTTGACTCGGCAGCCTATTCGAGCATTACGAAAAATAAAAGGAGGGGGAGACGGAGGAGGGTCAATATGGGGTTCTTTTCTTCCCCAATATTTCACTTTTGTAATTTTTTGTGTTGAAATGCATGGCAGGGAGACTCATTGCTTTTATTAGTTGTGCCAGCTCTTTCATTGTGGCATGCATGTTTTCATGACTTCCCCTATCAACTTCATCTCATACCGGGCTGGAAAGTATGTCGTCAATGTGTGGAAGGTCTTTGCAAAGGGTTACATTCCGTACTCAGACTGTTGGTGTTTGGCATCATAGTGTTCTTGACCAAACTCTTAAGGGGTAAATATATCTAGTAAGCACGTCTTTTCTGCTTGCCCAAGAGATGATTTCACGAGCAAAATGTTTTGTTTTGTCCTAATATGCATTTTGTTCTCATGCTGGTCAAATATGTTGCAATATAAGTACAAACTGCCTGCAATTTTATAGAAGTGTACAATTGTCTGTGTAATGTTGACATTGTGGCTTCGTATACATGTAAAGTGATGAAAAGCTGTACACGATTGCAGTCTTTAATAAAAGATATTTGTGCAAACTCCTTCTAGTACGCACAAATTGCAGTCAGAGCTACCTGCTTTTCTGTGTTTTCATATCATAAATTCACAGTTTAGACAATTTGCACTGCACGATCATTTGCAGGTGTAGAAGTAAAACAACATTGGAATGTGTGCTCTGCTCATGAACATTAGTTGCGTGATGTATAAGCATTTCCGCAGTGGTGGGCTGCATGACTCATCTCATTATCGTGGCAGCAACTGTTACAATAATGAATGACCTTGTCAGACAAATACTTCTGTTTGTCCATTTTGCTCACTGCAATTAGCAACATGGCAAAATGCAGTTCATTTCTTGCGACCTTGAGGGGGGCGTTCTTTGATGCCATCTTGTTTTATTTGTAATCCTCGTTTTTTAGAAAGCTGGGGTTTTGCCTTTGTGGCTGCCAGATTTCGCGCTGGCATTCTCAACCACTGTCACAGGATTTCAGATCTGTCACAGTTCACAAACGTTTGTGACACCTTGTTAAAACTGACTGTCTTTGAGACAAAACTGGAGGACACTGAACAATGTTTCTGAAAAATCCTTGGCATCTCGTATCAGGCTGAGATAATGCATTTATGTGTTGTGATTGTGTTTTTGTTACATCCTCATTTTTTGTTTATTTCACCTTTGTCATAGGATGGCCTTTTTCTCTGCTTGATCTGGCTTGAACATTTTGCTGTGCATTTGAAAACGACAGCCAGCACATTGTTACCGCCTCTTGCGCATGATTGTGATATATGGAATTGGTGATTCAAATCGCCTATCAAACATATTGGTTGCAGGATTGTTTTTTTTTTTACATGTCTTCTTTCTGCACAAATTAAGTGTCCAATTACTGAACTGCACATGCGTAGGGCCCCAATCTACCTTCTAGGCATTGTTTAGTGTTTCATGTTGGCTTTTGAAAAGGGTGAATTGGAGAGGCTTTTAGTTCTCAACATTTTGTGTTTATCTCAATATTTAGTGACATGCCCAGTGCAATTTACTTGTGTATGATCAAAGAAGATTTGATGGAATGGTGTGTACTTTTTCTGGGTGAATTGTTTCAATGCAATAAATATTTTGCATTCAAGCCCCTGCTTTGAAGCTATTAGTCAATAGTTGTGGTGATGATGTAGGAGAAATACCTTGCACCCTTAGTAGCAAAGCTCCTGTTTCAAGTAATTATTTGAACAACATGCCTGTCAAGGATACAAAATGATGGCACGGTAGCTTCAGAGTAGAATAAGGGATGATTGTTATTGATTCATAAACTCTATTCGGGCATAACAAATTTGTCTACATGCATGGAGAAACCATGACATGATGCAGTACTGTCAGACACACATCACTTTCGTTGCCTCGAGATTTCGTGACCTTTGCCGAGATTTGGAATCCAAGAATGGCCAAGACGTCCAGATGCTTACAGCAAAGAAGAGTGCCGACAACTTGTTTTTGCAGACAGATCAGTTAGTTGCCTTAATCACAAAAACCTTTCAAGGTAAGGCACACAACTCCTTCAGGGGCACTGGTGATGCCGCATTCTAAGAGGCTGTTCTATATGTGCCATGCTGAATGCCGAACAAACATGTCTGCTATACAGTGGTGCATACCTGAGCCATCCAGTCTATGATTGCAGCCGATGGAAATGGTCTGAACAATGGACAAACAAGTGGAAACAGCGAAGACTCCTTTTCAAAGGGGCTTTGATTTGCAGCCTTTGGGAGATGGCATGGAATCCATAAATGGAGCGGGCATAAATATCTGAGCTGATGGGACATTCTTGTATCCGGTTCGAATTGGCTGGCGGACGGGGCTTCAGTATTTGCATTTATGAGTGATGGGTGCATGCCGAAGGACACAAAGCTGCGCTTGTCTGATGCAGGGGTCGCTAAGTGGGGCTGTGGTCAGGCTTCTCTCCGTATCCTTGCCAGCTGACTGACTTCCTGGACCTCTCCCCTCCCTCACCACTTCGCAGGTGCGCAGCAGCGCGGAGTAGGGCGCACTAAAGTGACGGTGGACCGTGCGGAGCGACCGACGCTGTGGGGGCGGAGGAGGTGCCCAGGGGGGGGACATGGTGGCAGGGGCCGGACGCATGGCCCACAAAGGAGGCGGTGGCAAGAGCGGCGCCAAGGGTGGCACCAAGGGCGAGGACCGCACTGCGGTGCTCTCCCCCTTTGCCCACCAGGTCGGGGGCCACAGCCAGATGCTGCTGCTGGACCAGGGCACTCTGTGCAAGCCCCTCATCCCCAGGGAGCTGCACTTCTACCTCCACGTGCCCAGGGAGATGCGCCAGTTTGTGCCTTCTTACAAAGGTGGGTGCCACCAGGGTCCCGAGAAAATGTATGTTTAATTAAACCAACTTGCGCTTACGCATTAAATTAAAATTGTACCGTACATGCTACGATGGGGGTGAGGGGGCTACTATCAAGGTAAAGAAACACCTCTTAGATAAGAAGTGCATAGTGCTGAATTTTAAGCCCTAAGGAGGCTAATGTGGATTGGAGTGCTGCATCAAGTTCGGCCAAGACTTGTGTACTCACTGATAGATGACAAGTCCAATCCGTGCCCTGCCTCCTTAGGACGACTCTGAAAGCACTATGGCCTTCTTATCTAGGTTGTGTTGGCTCCAGCCACATGTAGGCTTTCTTTTATATATCCCTGGCAGTCGAGAACATCCTGTGCAAGCGAGCATCCCAAGTATCAAGATTGTGATGGAACATTCAGGAGTATAATTAACTAAGGATAAACATGGTTACCTCTAACAGGAATCAAACCCTGTTCCTCAAACTAGGAGGGAACTGTGCGTCTGCCCATCTAAATTCGTGGTGTCACCTATGAAACTGGCAACCAGCTAGTTCAATCCAAAGTGGAACGCATCCACGTCGGCTATTTCACGACAAGACACCCATTCCAGTCGTGTTATCGCTCGTAAAATTAGAGAAAGCATTTGTGGATGCACAATTAATTTCGGAAGACTGGGGTTGTTGCTTGTGGGGTTAAGCCCGCACACCAAACAAAAAAAGGTATATTGAAATAAGTCGCCTTATGGTATGGTATTGGCATTCCAAACAAAACAAAGGTAGTCAGAACTTGAAAAAGAATTCTTCGAAGCTCTGGCAGCCCACATTTTGCTAAGAGGCTTTGCAATCAGAGACCATGTTACATATGCGAGATTGAGAAAAAGAGGGGCAGCATAGCTGTTATGTGGTGGCGTAAAGAGTAGGGTCAGGAACGGGGTTCGTTGCCTGCGTTTCACTTCGCTTCCGACACTTCTTGGCTGACCTCCAAGGTGTTGCGTGGAGCGACCGTTATTTTTCTCGTTGCCTGCCAGGTTCCATTCTCTTAGCGTTCTTGTTGCTTTTGCCACCACCTCGCTCTTTGGGGAGCCCTTAGGTAAAGGGCAGGAGGCCCCAAAGATGAGGCATCCCTGTGACGCATAGAGATTTGCGGGCGTGTGCGCAGCAGCGAAACGGAGGAACCTTTCTGTCTTGCAGTTAAAAGGCAAACAAATAGGAACCAGTGGAAGCCTTTTCTTCTTTGTCTTTCCCGATAAATCGGGTTGGACGTTAGCTCTGGTTGAAGGGTATCGCAGCCCCTCTATGTACTGGTAGTGGGGATCAGTTTCATGGGTTCTTGATGTGAAATTATGATCATACATCTCAATGGTCTTAGTTGAGATATGCAAGGTTTGCTGGAATACTGCGGGGTGATTTTGGTCGACCAGCTTGCTTGCAATATTTTTTTGCCCTAGTGGATTACTTTTAATGAGCAGGCCGTCAAACTTCCGGCGCATGATATTACTGAGCGTATATAAAAGAATACATAAATTTTTTCTTATTGTTGCTGGTCCTGTTATGAAAAGATCAGCAATAAGAGCTGGATTAACAGATTTTTTTCTGGTACTCTGTAGTAGCTTCTCTTTATTTGTTTGTTTGGTGCAACTTGTTCATCAGGTTTCTGATAAATAAGCTGTCTGGCATCAAAGTCGAAAGTAAAATTTGTTCTACTCATGTTTAGACAGCAGGACGTTAGTCAGCTTCAAGGGGTGTCTAACACCTTCTCTCTGGATGTGAAATTTAGCCAGTGCAGTATGACTGCTAGCCCTAGGCTCCTGAATGTGCTTCATGCCGTAGTGATAACATAGCAGCACGCTGGTATGATGCCATACATAGTGAGACAGGCAGGGGTGGAAATTAATTCCTGGGTTCTGCAGCGCAATCTTTCACTCTGCAAGTTGTGGTGTGCTTACACACTTGGCCACTAACCGTCCTTGCTTTATGTCTGAACCTCGATACCTGGCAAGGCTATCAGAAGCGCGGTGGCCGATTTCTTTCTGTATTTCGAATTCAAGCACCTCTTTCGTATGGTGCGTGGTTCAGACTTGCCAACATTGTAGCTGCAATAATTCTGCTGAAAGGCTTTGGATTTCGATTAAGCTTGGTGTCTGTTCTTCGCTCCAGGTGTGATCCAGGTGCACTGCGCTGAAGACTCGTCTCCCTGGTGCCACTCCAGCCACCGGCAGGGGCGGCGTTCGTCACACTGCTCAGCGGAAGACATGGCCTCTTGGCGGTGCAGCCACAATGCCATTCAGCAGCAGCTCAAGTGAGTGACAGTATGGGTGGATGAATATTACCGGCTAAATCCTCTATAACGGGTGGTACCTTTCGCCATTTAGCCTAAAAACTAAAAGAAAAATGCAATTCCTATTTTTCTAACTCTTTTTTTTTTTCATGTATCCCTGCATTGTGTGCTGTCGTCTCACTTTACTTTCCACTACAGGAAAGGGTATCCGTAGGCACAAGGGTATCCATAAGCACAAGTGAGGTGGCATAGGAAACTGTTCAAACTGTCACACCCAGTTAATGAGTCAGCAGAAATATCTATGTACCTATGTATTTATTTGTATAAGCTCCAGCCTAGGCACTAGATGGTTCCTTTCTTAAGCAGCATAGAAATTAGAGAATGCACTTTTGTCCTTGACTTCAGGAAGCAGTGACTTTTTGAAGTGACCCGTTGTGATTGGGCACTCGTGTTTTCGATAAACACATCAGTGCTATTTCTACTGTGGCACAAACAGGAGACCTTCTGCAATGATAACACTGGATGAGCAAGTTTTATGTGCTCTGAATAGGCACAGATTACATTTGTTCCTGAAATTGATGGTTGCCTCATCGTTATTCTTTCATAGATCGTAATGATTACCTGTGACTTACTCGCTGTGCGAATAGACTGCATAGGCCTTTTTCTAATAAATAGTGTTGATTCTTTAACAACCAATGTTGTCACAAACATTTTCACGACAGTGTAAATGAAGAAACCATTTGTCCTCCTACCTGGGATATTTTTGGCAGAGATCTGCCAGTTAAATGTAACATGAAATTACTGTAGCAGTTGTGTATGCTGGCCTGTCGAAACTTTGCAGTGATGCCCATCTGTTTTCTACTTTTTCAGGGTGCAGATCTGCAGTTGCAACGAGGAGAGACTGCTTTTGCGAGAGCCCCACTGGAGCAGTAGCCAATGTATCCTTTCTTTACGTCCCGGGCACGGGCAGGCTTCCACCTCCTTGTGGGTGTAAGCATGCTTGCTGCAAGATCAAACAAATCTTATTCTTGAGAGTTTACATCACTGTTAAGCTGCAGCTAACAACATTGAATCTGGCAGATGTGTGCAGCACTGCTGAAGTGTCGGGGCATTATTTAGCCAGAAAATGAGACACAATCTCTCGATTTAAAACTCGCAGGTAAATGTAAAGAGATCTGGATGAAAACTGCATAACTGTAAGCATCCAGTAGCTGGACAAGCTTACCTTTGTGTTTTGTATGGAGTCGCAATGAAGCTCCAGCCACACTGCTCGTACATCAAGCAAAAGTCACGGTGTTCATTGCTGACAAAATAACAGAACTAGGTATATCTGTGGACCATAGGTCGGCATTTCAGGACTCTCTCACTCACCATCGCATCACCAAAATCTGAAGCCCATCAAAGTCATTCGCAATCATATCACAAAGCACCCTGCCATTCAAAAATCACAGCCCTTCACATCACAGAGTTCAACCGTTCCAAGCACTCATAGCCAATCACATCACATATCCTCAAACTCACACCCATCATGGTTACTCACAGTCACGAGGGGGTCCCATTCATGGCCAGTCACTCGTATCACGGCCCCTCAAAGTCGCCCCCATCATGGCTACGGCTACTTGGTTGAGGGGCTGCAACGCCTAAGCACCCACTCAAGCTGCTCTATCTGCTCCTAAGAATGGAAATGCAGCAGTCACACTTTCACAAAAGAAAAAGACGCCTCCCCACCCGCACCACCCCTGCCATCAATATCACCGCCCCCCACCCTCTCTCGTGACGCTGCTCAGCTCTCAAAGTCAAGCTGCAAAACTTTCACGAGTAACACCAACAGCCAAACTCATCTTAACGTCTGAAGTCATGAACTTACAATTCCAAACGCTTCAGAGTTCACAGGCTCAGTCCCCACCACATCACGAAGCCATCAAGTTCACGATGCCACTCACCACATCATTATAAACTCATCACGCTCATGAGGTTTCTCGCCATCTCATCATGAACTCTTCAACACTCACGAAGTCACTCACCATCTCATCTCATCACGCTTACGAAGTTGCTCACCATCACATCATGAACTGATCAGTCCACAAAATCACTCACCGTCGCATCACAATCTCTTCAAACTTCACGAAGTCGCTCACAGCCACTCACAATTACGCGGTGACTGAGCGAGTTCATGAGTGAGTTTGCCGAGGTATGCTGTGGACACACCTCTAGCACCTCCGAAGCATGTTTGCCCCATACATGCTTCAGACACGTCTGCAAACTGTCTGATGTATAAGTGGTGTGATAGAGGAGTACGGGTGTGTTCCTTGACCGTCGACACCAGACTTCCTTCTCCTGGAGAATGTGGTGTCGCACTTCCATCGGCCGTGCATCCTGGACCTAAAGATGGGCACCCGGCAACACGGGGACGATGCCTCGGACGAGAAGCGGCATCGACAGATGGCCAAGTGTGCTGCCAGCACCTCGGCGTCGCTTGGAGTTCGCATCTGTGGCATGCAGGTGAGACAGACTGCAGCAGGCTGGCTCGAGGGAGGGCTTAAGAGGGACTGCCACTGCTGGCTGTCGTGAGCTAGCCATCTTGTGACACCAGTCATCAACTGTCTGTGACACTCATCGTGCATTAGGAAATAAACCTTTTGCTAAATTAGTCGGTCCCCAAGGAGCTTATGCTGCAGGTAGTTATGCATGCTGCGCACACTAGCATTGGCAGCAGTAACTGTTCTAGAGCAAAACCTAAACCAAATGACATATATATTTTACAGTCGCGTTTGTCGATGCTTTAGTTTGGTTATTTACTTGGAACGTTTTACACGGATAAGGTAAATATGAGCTTGTACATTCCCAGCATTCTCCTTGATTCTTGGGAGATTTGGCAGGTCTATTGCTAATTAATTATACTCGTGACGCAGATCGCGTGGACATGACAACGATTTGTTTGAACAGCTTTCTTGGAAGACATTTGCACCAATATATCGTGAATGTGTGGTGAGAGCATACTTGGAGGGCACGGCATGCACCTGGTTTGAGAACCACGAAGCATCGATCACCTCCTGGGAGCAACTCAAGGCTGAGTTGAGAAGAACATTCCACTGACTGGAATCGAACCTAGACTTTCCGCGCGACAGTCAAGCGTGTTAACCACTCGGCCACGCACGCGGTCGCTCGCCGACGCGCATGACAATACTGTGAATGTGTGATGAGAGCATACTGCAGAAAAGCTACAATCTCTAAATAAAACGAGAAAGTAGTCGGGCATGTTGAGGGAGAACTTGCAGAGAGACCTCCTGGAAGCCTCAGACTGTCGGGAAGACGTCTTGCTAAGAGGCTTAGCTTCTTGAGGACGGCAGAAGCTACCAAGCCTCAAAGACCTCCCACTCTAAGACTTCAAGAAGGTTCCCTTTCATAAGCTGCCTATCTACTATGTTGCTACAAAGATATGGCAATTCTGCTCAGATAATTACTGGAATTACTGCATACGACTGGTGCTGTGGCAAAAGTCTTGTGGCATTTGGAACTTCAATTGGGAGCATTGCTCTTTTTTTTGTGTGAAACTGCAGTCCCACATTGGTGCGGACCATCTGACAAGATAAATGATGGTAATGGATGGGTACCACTAGACACACTAGATTTCTAAGGTATCTGAAGTTTGGTCATGATGGAGAATAGCAAATTGTAAACAGGACACAATAACTTATGAATAAAGAAGACATCAATCACCTGCATTTTCTTATGCTTTACTCTAGATTTGTTGTCGGAGTTTACTCGTTTAGTTGCTTGATAAATTTAGATGATAAATTATCTAGGAATTGTTGAATGTTGCCTAGAGCCGAGTGGTCGATTCACCATTATTGAAAAGATTCCTACCCCTATAAGTGAGCAAAAATACATGGATAATTTGGGTTGTTAGCATAAGTTAAAACTTTGTCGTCAGCCGTGCTTTGCCCTCATCAAGACTGGGATTTCTCCTTGCCCTCGCAGGTGTACCAAACGGACGTTCGTGCCTTTGCTTGCAAGGACAAGTACTACGGGCGGCGTCTGGACGACCGGGGCTTCCGCCGCTGCCTGCGACAGTTCTTCCACGACGGCTTCCGGCTCCGCTCCGACCTGGTCGGACTGGTGATCCAACGGCTTCAAGCCCTGCGCAAGGCTGTGGAGCGCCAAAACTCCTTCCGCTTCTACTCCTCCTCCCTGCTGATCATCTACGAGGGCTGCGACGAAGAGGACGACTGCTCCGGACACGCATCGACAAGTGGGGCGGAGGTGGAATTGGAGGCCGGGCTCTCCCTGGACTGCTCCGACGAGTCGTCGTTAGACTCCTCTCTGGATTCGTCTTCCGTGAGCGTGCGACCGCGGCGAGAGTGGCGGCCACGTGTGGACGTACGCATGATTGACTTTGCCCACACGACTCATGAAGGCTACGAGGGAGACACCATGGTGCACCAGGGACCCGATGCTGGCTACTTGTTGGGTTTGGACAACCTGTTGCGGTTGCTATGTGATGTCCAAGACAGGGAAGAGGTCAAGTGAGGTCGTCGACCTCCCTGCCTTGCCGTGGCAGTTCGTCCGTGGCCCCCTGGGTGTTGAGAACAGGGTAGATGTCACGCGAGGGCTTTCACATCCTGTCCAGGGTTCGTCGCAGTGTCAAAGAAGAGGGCAGGCGACCTCAATTTCCTGCTGCAGCAGTTCATCTGGCACCTTGTTTCAGCTCTTCGGGAAGAGATGAAGTTTCGTCGTCGACATCTTGTGTCTGCTGCTGCAGTTTGTCCATATCCTCTTCCATCTCTTGCGAAGCTCGAGATGAAAAATGGGTGAAAAACACGTCCACGGAGGCCGCCCGCTTTTGTTGTGATTCGTGAAGAACTCTTACATGTAGTCTGTAAGGTTCAAGGACAAAGTAGTAGTCCAAAGCTGGCAGAACATTTGCAAGAAGACATATCTTCTGCATCCATTCTACAGCTCCGGCTTGGGTCGTCGTGCTAGCCTTTTCTGAACATTGGAGACTGCACAAATGATGGTGACGTGTGCTCATTGGGCTCAATCTCGGCTTACCCTTGTGGCTGCAGTACCTGCAATGGCCAGCCCATCCACACTACGGTTGCCAGTAGTACCCAGGGCACAGGCTGAAACTCTCTAGGCAACGTCTCGAGTGTCATGCAACATTGCAAGTGAAAAAACTCGCCAAGGATGGCGATAAACTTCCACTCGCTGCTGCAGTGTCTCCCGAGGTTCTGCTGCACTTTTTCCACTCAAGGAAGACACAATTTGAAGTAATCTCAATTGCTTGCTGAACTGAAATATGATAAGATATAGCCGAATTTGACAAACTGAAGGACACAATCTTGTTCAATATGTTTCCTTCCATCTGTACGAATGTTTTCACTGTGCACATAGGTCCATAAACAAATTACTCTGCAAGCCAAGCGCCGTTTACTCGAGAGAAGGGCACCTGGCTTGTACAGCACCCTGCTTCTTTGGCTGCCACTTTTTCTGGTGGTGAGCAGTTTCCTCGAGCCTGCGTTACTCATCGAAGCCTTTGTGGGCGTCGTAGGGCTTAAAAGCCCGTCTGCACCTTGCCCGTTCTTCCCTCCCCCTCGACTCCGCCTACTTGTTCCCGTGGGTGTTTTCCCTTTTCAGTCTGATGTTACTTCCCTCTGTTGTTGCAAGCCTCAACAAGCCAGTGTGTTCAGCCTCCAGCAGGGGACTTTGCTCTCTTTCTTGGTCTTTGTTTTAATCCCAGAGTGTCTCCCCTTGGCACATAGTTTCGCTACTCCCGACCATGTCATCGCTGTTTGTGCTGAAATTGTTCCGATAGTTCGAAGGGATTCTAAGTGCACAATCATTTTGGGGGTCGCTCTGTGCACACTCTTTATGAGCACTTTTTGTGTGCTTTGGGGTTTACGGACCCGTGTAAAATAAGAAGTTGATTTCTTCAGTGAAGAAGCATACAGTGATATTCCAATGTTTCATACTGGAGCTCTGTTGCAGAGCCTTTTCTTTTGTTTTGACTCTAGGCTGCTTTTTTCGGCAGAAATTCCAGTCGTTTGTCATTTGCTGCGATTAAAGATTAAGGTAAAAAAAGCCGGACGGCTGAAGTTTGGTTTCTGCTGTGGTCCTGCGCTGTATCGTAGAGGCAACAAATTAATTGACCTCTCCTTTATACACCCGTGCTTGCACTTTTATTTACTAGTTTGACATACCTGAGAAGCACTCTCGTTAATTATTTGATAACTTTGTTCCCATTAAACTGCCTGCTTTTCTATGGAGAGCTCCTTTTTGTTGTATAGTTGCAGACCTAAATAGGAATTTCCAAACGTGAATATTTTTTCCCTGTGAAGTAAAAGAAACTCTGATCAACAATATTTTCAGTTTTTGTGGTGAGGTGATTGGAGTGTATGTTTTCTCCACTCGTGTTGAATGTATTGATGATGTGGTAGTATGGTTGTGATGTGTTAGCACAGCAGAAGTGGATACCTCCAAGATCACAACCACTGGAAGAAAGTGTTGTACTACAAGCATGTTTGGATGCCTTCGGTGCTGGGTGATACTGCTGGAGATAATCGAATGAAGAGAAAGATACCTGGTGCATGGTTGGTGACATGCTGGGTTTGCTTACACCTAGGGAGAAAGAAAACCTTGTTTTTCCTTAGTCTCATTTTACTTGACATCAGTGCAGGAACTGAAAGTCCAAATGGATATTCCCTCATGACTGTCCATGGATGACTTAGTTTTACACTGCCATCCGTTGTATAAAGAAAACTTCTTGTTGCTCTGCTGTTTCGTGCTATTACTAAATGTTTGTTGGAGTTTGTTAGGTGATGTTAGTGCAGCCATCTTTGTGTATAAAGGAATGACAAAAAAACGACTACTTTTTGATGTTCTGTGTAATGACTGCAGTTATTTTGTTACGGCGATCACACTTCTTTTTCCCCCTCGGAGCTTTGCGCTAACCCTTTGCGACACGAGACGTTCTAAGTTCTGTATCCGTGTTTAGATGTCTAGGTGGGCCAACTATTTTCCTTTGGACATACGCTCTGAGGACCAATGGATGGAATTAGATTGCATTTCATTTTTTTCTTGCATAGTTGACCAAAGACTGCTCTCAGCTGTATGTTTGTTTCAACCAGCTAAGGGATGCTTAGACAGTTTTCCCGCACAGCAAAGTGAAGTTCCGAAGACGAGGAAATGACGTAGCAAGAGGTATCGGGGCTCATTCAGGCTCCTAAATGGGCGTGAAAGCCATGGCTTCGGCTAGACGCCGTAGTTGCGTCAAAGCCAGTCACGCCACCAAAGCTTGTGGTACGGGTTGCTCACCTCTGAAAGCAAATAAGCTCTCAACTGCACTTTGAATGCTCATGAATGCACATCTTGGGATGTAGACACGCACCTCGCAGTTAGCGTTCGCAAGCCGAATTATCTCCAGGGATGCAATAATTCATGGTCTGGAGGCAGCCCCGGGCATGGTACTGTTTCAGCAAATTTGTAGGCACTTGCACATTTCTTGGGACAGTGCTTGCCTTTTTCTTTTTTCTCATCGTCATGGTTTTGACCTTTAAAACTAGTTCCTTAACATGTTCCTGTATTGTGCATGCATGCCTTTAAGCACACACGTGAAGCAACCTGTGAAGCAACTTGTACATATGTTTCTGAAATAAAAAAAGAAGATTGCTATGATTGGTATCTTTGCTTATACCGGTGGCCCCCCCCCCCCCCCCCCCCCCCCCTAGCTAGAAATTTCCAGGTATAATATCCACTGGTACGTTGTCACACAACTGGAGCACAACTTTACTATGCAGTTTCCTTGCGACGGTCAAAATAATTTCAAATAACATTAATCCGACGTGAGGGCCACACCAACAGATTTTTAAGAAGTGCACACTCCGTCTGAGGCTTAGAAAAAATTACCCTTGACCAAGGAGAAACGGTTTGTGCTGCATAGGGTGTGGGGAAAGGAGCGTCTTCGTTAACAATATATGTATATCCCGTGTTACTCCTCCACATCAAAAGTATACTGAAACCGAATATTCAATTTCATGTCTTGGTTAGGTGCCAAGGAATAGGGATAACAAAAACATTGGGGGAGGGGGGGTGTTTTGGCCCCTCAACACACTTTCTGGTTACACCCCTAGCTCATACACTCCCAGAATGCCAGTGTGAACTTGTCATTTTGCATCTTTCTACTGGCTTTAACTTCACCAAAAGAGAAATTATGCTGGTGTCTCTTGCAAGTCGACCTGTGAAACGCTTGTCTATAGCCTCGCAAGATGCACGAGTGCAACTGATCTGGCCAAGGTCTTCACCGAGATGGTATATTGCCCTATTCTGAGGGTAGTCCATACATATATGGCACAATAAAAGAAGTTATTCAGGTCCGACAATTTTGCAGATTGGGAGTATCCAAGGGAGCAGGCTCAACTATTGTGGTGGTGTATACACATTTCTGAAATTTTGACATTTAGACTTTAGTTTTACGAGATTTGCGGCTAGGAAATACAGCAGGACTAGTGCTCCCTCACCAAGCTCACTGGGCAATGGGAGCTACATGTTCACCGAACCAATCAATTGCCTGCCTTTTATCACCCAATCCAACTCATGCTTGCGAGTATGCATACAGCGTGATCAGGTGGTGCAAAACTGACTGGTTCAACAAGCACATAGTTCCTAATGCTCTGGTGAGCAGAGTTGCCAGAGTATGCGGAGCGCAAGTTCGTCTGCTTCTTGCACAGAGGTTGCGATGATGTAAGAACGCCAAGCTCTTATTGGCCGATTGAAGAAAAAAAAATAGTGGGTAGACCTGAATGCTAGATGCCTCGAGGTCTACCCACTATCCTTCCAACCAAAGCTAATCAGAACTCGGCGCCGTTCTGACGTCACCGCAACCCCTGCACGAAAGGCAGACGACTTGCTCTCCGCAGTGTTACAACTGGCCTAGCTGGTAGATCACAAAGGAACGAATGGTGGAGAAGGTTCATTTTTACATAAAGATCTGTTGCAAGTCACCACTGTGGTTCGTTCACCTTTGTCTGCGTTCTATGTGCTTGCCTTTATTTACTCAACTATTACCCTACCTCATAAAGTGCTTTGCTGGGCAAAAATTTGCATCTCGAGCTTTGTGATGCGGACATACCATCACCAAAGTTGACTTCAGCAAAAGGGGAAGTGGTTGAATGGGCATTCGCTCGTGTGCCAGCAGTCCCAAAAGCCTTTATTGGATCCCCTCTCTCCACTTCTTCTCTTCGGCCTCCTTGAAGAGTCGGTGTTCCCGCTTAAGCGCCTTCTTCGGCTTGTACTTGCGCACTTTCTTCTGCCGCTTACGTGTCTCAATGACGTTGCGCTTCTGCAGACTCTTGTACCGGTCCTCGAGCACGTTGCACTCGGGCTTCAGCTGCCGCAGCGATTCGGTCAGTTCCTCGGGCAGCTTGAGCTCCATGTCCGGTTCTTCGAACTTGAACTTGCTCAGTCGGTTCGCCTGGTACAGCTTGTCATCCTCGCGCTCCTGCCGACGCTTCTGGCGTTCCTCCGAAATCTCGGCCTCACGCCTGAGCTCCGCCTTAATAGTCGGGATCCGGTAGACCTGGTTGGCGAGAACGCGCTCAGTTTTACGCACCTTGGCCGCGCTCTGAATGCGCTTTTGTTCCAGCTCGCGTCGACGCTTCTGCTTCGTTTTGCGGTCTTCCGCGCGCACCGGCGGGTTCGCCTGACCGCTCCGAGCTCCATCGTCACCTGCACCTTCGTCGCCCTCCGCTTCGTCGGAGGATGGGTCGTCGTAGAGCCCCTGCGACATCTCGGCGATCATGTCTTCTTCGGTGGGCATAGTCTCCCGCGTCGGAAGCATCTTCGTCAGAACCCGATCGATGTGCTGCTCCTCTTTCAACCGCTTCTGTTCGATCAAGAAAGCTTCGTGAAGCAGTTCCTGATGGGCATCGGGGGCCGGGTTGTACGACGCTCCAGGGTGGGGAGGCTGGACCGCTGGAAGCAGGGAGGGCTTTTGGTAGCGGTGCGCCGGGATGTTCGGCCGCCGCTCCTTCGTGTACTCGGCGATGTAGGTCTCGAGCTCGGGATCGAGGCCAGAGTCCGCCTTCTTCTCTTCATCGGCCCAGATGTCTCTGAGCCCCGTGAAATCAGAGTGACCATTGGCTTGCTTGGCCTTCCGCGCGACACTCCGGAGGCGCTGTGTGACAGCCTGTTCGTGGCGCTTGGCCAGACGCTGCTGTTGGACGCGCCGCACAGCCGCCGGTTTTCGTTCTTCGGGGTCGCGGACTCTTCGCGGCTTGGTCGGCGGAGCAACTTTGGAGCTCGGCTCGAGGTTCAGGTAACACGTGAGCTTACGATTGCGCCTCTCTCGCTTTGACTGGACAGCACGTTTTGGTTTGGGCGCAGCCGGAGACTTGTCCACGTAGAACAGCTCCTCGTCGGGCTTTGTGGAGACCGCGCCGCCCAGACGCTCGTCCAAGCGTTGGTCCTCGAGGAAACCTTCGATGTCTTTGATGTCGGAGTGTTTCACCCATGTCTTCTTGCGGTTTTTACTTACGCCGAGACGTTTTCGCTTCGTGGTGGCAACCATTTTTGCTAAAAAGGTTGTACGTATGGCAGGACCGGCGGGACTCTGATGATGATGATGATGATACGGACCATAAATGAATGGAGAAACGTCTACAAAAACAAACATTTTTTTAAAGTAGGTCGTAACTAGCGCCATCTGGACCGACACCTATGCGCCGAAATACATAAAAATGAATGGAAAACATTTCTGGCCTTTCTTGCTTTGGTCCATCTTTCTGAGTACCGCGCTTGCGCTTGCGACGCTCCTTTGAGGGAGGCCATCCGGATACAAAAAAAGTTTTAATGCAAGTAAATACTTAACATACAGGGTGTCACAAATGAAAATTTACACGGTCTTTTTTACCGCAAAAAAAAACTAGGCATCGCCGAACGCTCATTTTCCGCCCAAAGGTAGAGCTAGAGGTCACAACCAGGTGCCAAAGTTTCAGCCCGATCCGATAACTTAATCAAAAGTTATAAGTGATTTTCTGAAAATTTCAATGGGAAAATGGCGGCCGACGGAGTTTTCAAACACACGGGGCTCTATGGCACCAGAAACCGAAAACGGGCAAAAATGGGCTCCATTTTCCCATTGAACTTTTCAGAAAATCACTTATAACTTTTGATTAAGTAATCGGATCGGGCTGAAACTTTGGCATCTGGTTGTGACCTTTAGCTCTACCTTTGGGCGGAGAATGAGCGTTCGGCGATGCCTAGTTTGTTTTTGCGGTGAAAAAGACCGTGTAAATTTTCTTTTGTGACACCCTGTACTTGGTGTGCAATACTTGACCTTAAAGGGGTACGGAAACGTAATTCCAGTGCTTATTTTGTAGCTTTAATGTGTTGCATGTTGCAGCATAACCTCAAGAATACCAGTCTTTCGTTGAAAGTCACAAGAAAACTAATTTTAAAGCTAATTAAACAAATCTTTCAATGTGCACCTGGAGGATGCATGTGGAGCCTATTTGGGAGGTAATCTAGCAACGTTGGGGAACTTGCTACGTAATCATGATGTAGCAAGTTGCATAGGAGCAGCGCCGCTCTTTGGAATTCAACATTTTCTTTTATAGCTTTCCTCCTCAACTCACAAATTGTGCAGTGTACCAAACAGTTCAAGAAGACGGAAAGGAGGGACTTCCCTCTTGCTCGGACCCTTGTTTGTGCACCCGGACACAGCCATTCTCCCCCTAGAAGGTTAGCCCGTTGCTCAAAATTTGGACAAAAGTTGTTTTTCCAACCCCATTCACCCCCAAGCTGACAGTGCTGTGGAACCTACGTGCTCCCTGGGCCAGTCACACGCTAGTCACCCCACGGGTGCTTTGAATGGCTCAGTTGCAACGCTTTGACACTATTGACACCACCACAACGCTGACAACACCACCAACAGCAAAGCTCATAACCACGCGAGACCTGCTACGTCACGAATGCGGGGAATGTTTCAATGCGAAAGCATTAAATGTCCTATGGAGCGAGCTGATGTCATCAGTTTGAAGTGCGAAAACGGCACCTAGTTTTTGCGATCCCAATAGGAGCGAAGTAAAGCTGATGGATTTCGCCTTCAGTTCCATTGGCTGGCACGCGTTGACGGGGCTCCCATTGGCCGCTGCGCTCGTCAGTTTCCACGACTGCTCACCCCATGGCGCTGCGTGTCCATCCGCGCGCCGTTAACACGGAGCATCCAAGGTCAGCGTGCCCAGGCGAGCACGCGCGCTGACTGGCGACGAAAAGTATGCAGCAGACAAAAAAGGGAGCGGACGAGAGGCTTGCACGCTTCCACATTCACAACTCATAAGAAGTGCTTGGGTGTAACTCGAGCTTTTTCTTTTTCTGTTTTTGTTTGCGCCGGATATCTGATGACGCCCATCACACTCTCCGTTCGCTTTTCTTTGAGCGCTTGCTCGAGTGCACCGTTTGGAACGAAAAATATAGCCAGTTGTTCAAACTACAAACGCGCGATTCTCATTTATGGTTATTATCCGTAACAACAACAACTTGCACGTGTTTTTTAACCGCAAAAATAAACTACGCATCGCCGAAGGCTCATTCTCCGCTTAAATGTTGCACTACCGGTCCGAACTAGATGTCAAAGTTTTAGCTCTAATCGTTGTTTTATTCAAAAGTTACATGTGGTTTTTTGAAATTTTGAACCGAAGAATGGCAGCGAACAGAGCTTCAGAGTTACCAAACACTAGCCGAGAATGGGCCCCATTTTTCCAATTAAATATTTCAGAAAATCACCAACTTTTGAAAGACGGTTAGTGCTGAAACTTCGGCATTTGGCTTGTACAGCTAGTGCTGCTACATCTGGGTGGAGAATGAGCGTTCGGCAATGTATTCATTATTTTTGCAAAAAAAAAAAAAAATTTTTTTTTTGGGGAAGGGGGGGGGGGGGGGGCAAGTTGTACACAAATTGCTGTTCCCCAGGGGCTTCTCGAGACATTCAGTAATTTCCATCTTTCTTAGATGTAGGATGAGCACCTGTAGCTCAAATTGTTAACAATAATAATGTTTTGTGCCATAAGGAGCCCTTTTTCACATTACGTCCGGCCGCAGCCAATGCAATGATCTGATTGAGCCAATCAAGCAGCGCCAGAAGTGCATCGCCATGGCACTGTGCGCTTGCCATACTGCTTCACGATAACTTGGCGAACTGTCGAGGCTGCGGCCCCCGTGACCCAACAAGAGCGTCGTAGCAGAACACGGGACAGCAGTCCATGGTCGAGGCCACAAAGGCCTCGTTAATGCCACAGCAACAGCACCGTCCACGCAGAGAAGTGGTTCTAGGCTTTATTTTGTTTTAACGACAATTAAACTCGTGCGATTGCATCTCTATTGTCACTATGCTACACGACGCGTAAGAAAGACGAAGTCACCTAACTTTTCAACAATGCTTAGTTTGAATTTTCCCAGAACAATGTGGCTTTTGAACAATGTTTGAACGATCACAGACCTGCAATTGACCGCTTCTGCTTAAAACATTGTCCTGGATTAGCACCCACCACAGATTTGCAGGTAAATTCAGCGTATAGCTGTTTCATGAACTGATCCCGAGAAGCTCGCTACCCTAGCGGACGGCAATGTTGCGGCGGTGGATGTTCATCCGAAGTTGGTTGGTTTTGCAGCAAACAACAGCCGGATCCTCCGGGCCTTGCATTTGGCGCAGGGGCGCAAACATTCCTGTGACATGGTGTCACATGCCTAGATGCTCTCATTTGGTCGCAGGGGACGTAGCCTACACAGTTCGCAATTTATCGTGAAACGGTGTATATCACTGGCTAAAGGGGTATCTTAACAGGATACTTCAGAACGCATGAAGCGACACTTGTTCGCCATATGAAGTGAAAGTTGAAGTCCAGCAATCCGTCTTTTGTTTGGACACCCACCAGTGAAACATCACGGCTTTCCTCCTCGCCTTAGGGTTACCAACCGTCCCGGATTTTGCAGGACTGTCCCGACTTTTCATAAGGTGTCCCGAGTCCCGCATTGTCCCAGTCGGGACAGCTATATGTCCCGCATTTGGTCCAGATAGTCCGGCTAGAAATCTTGTGTGATCCAACGTATGCCCAACGATGTGCACCACGCTGCGAAACACGAAGTTCACACGAATTGCACGAAGCAGTGCTGCGGTGTCTAGTGTCGGCTGCAAGGCTTCAGCCGCTTTAACATGCAAGAGCAACGGCAAGCCGAAAATTGCAGCGGGCGCCTCGTATCATCATCATTTGTATAAACCCCCTTTGTATCTCCCTTCTCCTCCGTCCCCACTTCCTTTATTGAAGAGTTGGTAACCCTACATCGCCTCCTCTGCTTTTCTGTGACCTCAGTGCTCGACAGACTCGACGTCACGCACCACCCGCCAATGGTATCCATCCCCTTCCCGTTTTCGGAACTCGAACAACAGCAGAGGCCTCGAGCGATTGACTGACAGCCAACAGAGCGTGCCAGTGGCTGTCTGAACGCACGTGATGAGCATGCTCTAGGCCTCTGTGGAGGATAAAAAGGGACGTTGACAAAGTGAAGCTTTCCCCCCGGCAAAGAAAATGGACGGAAGCGGATTGTTACGCTTCATACGGTGGAGATGTGTCGCTTTGCGCATTCTTGAAGTGTCCTCTTTGAACAGCCCTTAAGCTAACCACGCAAGTGAATGTGGCATGATCCTGCGCTTTCTTTTGTGTGCATGTTTGGTTTAGCTGGCGATATCAAATGCACAAAGACGACTGTTGCGTCAATGTACTTTAGGTGCTGCTTAATTTACCCCATTGGATCGTGGCGTCGACTGGGGCTGGACTTAACGTGAAACAAAATACGCTTCTCCGGCTGCTGTGGCTTCATGTTTATTGCACACTATGTAACAAACTCCTGTCAATAACACCTCCGATTGTGAAAGTATATAGCTAAATAAATCAACACTAAATAAACAATAAAAACACACAGGCAAGAGTCCAGAATTTTTCCCTTCTTTAATGCAAACAAGCAGCCATTTCTTCCTTGCTTCTTGTGTCAGCCTAGAGCTGTCCTCTCTGGGAAAGATCCTATGTAACGTGCGCCTCCTGTACATATGTATATAGGCAGTAGCATTCTGCGAAACAACAAACCTAGGGGAGCTGTGGGGCGTCAAGGGGTGAGAGGGGGAAGCAGAGGGAGGAAGCATCACAGGTTGTCCTTGTGCCACACCCAGCGCTTGGAGGTGTGGTCGAATGCGTGCGTCGTCCATTGCTCCTGCAGAAGCTGGTACCGTTCCACACTCAGGTAGAGTGGCTTGCCACGCCTGCGACAAAGCATACGCTCCACTCACTGCCCCAAAGAATCTCTGTGTGCAATAGAAGACTGCATTCCTTCCAAAGGACAGCTCTACCAAAGGGTCCTCGAGAGACGACAAAATTATTGGCTCTGTCCTCATATGTTACACCTTCGTAAAAAAAAAAAAAAAGAAGTACCGCATAAATCGCTAGATGCATCACGGATGCACTTTGGCTGCCAGGCTCTCATTTACATAAATGTAAATAGCAATTAAAAAGCTGCACAATGTTAATCAAACTTCGTCATAACAGTGTCTGCATTCTATCATGTGTAGTAGAGCAAACCAAATTAAAGGTCTGTTGCAACAAGCTCCTGAAAACAACAACTAGATAGGGTGGCCTTACTGCTCAGAGTTGAAAACGGGACATCGAGGGGAAAGGGAGGAAAAGGAAAAAAAGGAGGGGGGGCAAAGCAAGACAGAAAGAAAAAAGCTCTGCTACTAGTATTCAGCTCACAATGAAAATGCACACGTTTCTGGGGCTTTTCTTTGTGTCGTTGAGTACACAAGCACCTTTCTCACTCATTCTGTAAAGCCTAAGCATGCCAAATATAGTAATATAGAAAAGTGCTCCGTATGTGCATCTGTGCAGACAAAACATCGTCACGAGGAATCCATATTTTAAATTTCTTTACTCGCCCGGCACTGATGTCGCAAGCAAGTTCCCATGAAAACATGATATATTTAGACAACATGACATAATGGTAGAAATGAACCTTTAAGACGGGACTGTCCTGGCCAGAACGGGATGTCTGGTCAACCTACTACTAGATGAACTCGCACAGCAACACTACATTATAAGAAACCTGCCAGTCCTTAGAGGGTGTGCCATGTGGAATCGAGAAAACCAGTCTTTTGGACGGAACAGAAAAAAAAAAGTCTTTTCCACAAATCGGCTTACTTGAGGTCCCTGTCCTCTTCTCCGAAGCTGTCCAGGTAGACTGAGCCCCAGAGGCAGGCCCTCTTGCCGCGAATCACAATGATGGTGGACGAGTTCACTGCCAAGAAGATGGCCGTGCCCGCTCCACAGTTGATAGAGTGCTGCACCGTTCAAACGACACGCAATTCCGCACGTTATACTAGGACGGAGCATTGTCCGTTTCACCCGCGGAGCATCGTGCGCAAAACCAACCCAGGGGCGGAAAGCCTCAATGCATTATTGCAAAGTCCATGGAAGAAATAAAGGTTAATTAAGCAAAAGGTGAACCTGCGAGACACTGTACATCTAGATAGTAGTCTAGCATCTTTGCAGGTCATCACTCGGCAGAGGAAGAAAGCTTTACTCTCGAGATGAGGATGACACAAAGAACACGACAAAGGTGTCAAGCTTTGTAGTGTTCATGTTAAGCTTTGTCCACCACATGTTTTCTCCCAGATGGTACAAAAGCTGTGAAGCATCGGATGCTCATAGCATCCATCGAGGCACATCGTAAGGTGAAACCGGGCACACGACGGCGGTGGGCGCCTGCAGGTTACGCACGTGGACGGCCTCGTAGTAGGCCTGCTGCCGGCAGCAGTTCTCCCTCAGGCAGACGAGGGTGCCGCACACCAGGCAGACGGAGGGGTCCTTGGGCACGCTGTGGCACAGCCGGCACGCCCGGCTGTGGTAGTACTGGAACAGCTGGTCGTAGCGGCCGGGCAGCAGCAGCAGGCGGGGCTGTGCCCAGCGCCAGCGGCACTCCACCAGGCTCTGAGAGAGGCAACGGAGTAACGGCGCCCGTTGGGGCCTTCACCATACAGTCTGTTGCGTGCTAAGAATATCGGGGCCAGCTCCTTACACAAAGCCATCCACCCTTTCCAGTTTAGCAGAGAAAACGCTAGAGGGAAGGCAAGTGGAGAGGAGGAAACCACCAACTGCGGCGAGAAGAGAGCATTTGAGGAGGGGCTCCTCTTCCTATGTTGCAACAGGTTATAGCAGAGAGTTGACCAGATCTATTGACAGTTTCCAGTGAGGTAGCTGCAACCTCCCCGATTTCGAAGACACCACTATACTGCCAGGGGTCGTTGCAACAGGCGTTTACACGTGGCTTATATGTTACTTGCTCTTGCCGAGAAAATCAGATTCAATGATGCAAAATGTCTGCTGGAGAAGGTATGCACTAAGCAGCAAGGCAATGGCAGCTGATGTGACGTATCACGTAGTATTGCCTTATTTCCTGTACCTTTCAAATCATATGCACACAGAGCTACTTATTCCCTAGCTAAGTTATTATATGCATACTTAATCTAGAGTTAAGGATGATAACGTAGGCCTCGATGCAACGCTGCATGAGCTAACGAATTGGACCCCCTTTAAATAAATCAACGAAATTAGTACAGCAAGCTAGTATGCAGTAATTTACCAGAATGGTGCACATCTGTAGTGCACTTGCTTTTTTATTCTTCTTATGTATCTAGGGGCAATAGTGCATGAATCAAACTTTACGAGCCAAAACAAAACTTCCTCTCGGTAAGGTAAGCAGAGTCATGCCTTCGTGTTTGTCAACACCTTCAAGCAAAGAACCTAGGCAATTTGATTTGACAGAAATTAATTTATCTATTTTCATAGTTTCCAAGCCTGGAGGCATTACAAACAAGATAACTTTGCCTCACCTTTGTCTTTCTTCACATGCCCCCATCACTCGCAGCAAAAATATTGGTTCCTACTTCCAACTTGCCATCTTCCATAGAAACTTTTGCAAAGCAAATTATGGACCATCTAGCTGCACTCTGTTGGGTAAATTATGGCTCTGAAACTTGCAAAGCCGATTTGTTGAAATTTATACAAAAAGAGTTGGTTCCATTTTATCGTTCTTTATCGTTGTATGTAACGGGTACTTGGGAGAAAAGGGAACCATGTTTCTCTAGCTGCAAATATAAACTATGTATCACCAACCGCTCAATCTCTGCCCAAATGTAGTGTGGGCGGTCAGGGTTTAAGAACTTGCTGTAATCTGATAAAAGAAAGTTACAGTATAAGCGATTTTCGAAACTATTCAATCAGAAATTGAGGCCCATTTTCCGTTGCAGACACCATTTAAATCCACATAGTAGCAGGCTAGGTCGGATACCACTTTCTTATTTAACATTTCAGAAAATTTTTCTTTTGAACCAAGTAACGGTAAGTTTTCAACTTTTGGCATCCGGATCCGACTGCTAGCAGACCTTTGGGTGGAGACCGAGCATAGTTCATCATTGCGGCGAAAAAAAAAAAGATGGTTCTCTTTGCTCGCAAGCGCCGAGGCAGGAGACCACCCACCCTGGCAGCAATCGGAGACTTGCCGACGAAGTTGCCATAGTCCTGGCACCAGGTGCGCAGGAGGATGTGGGGCTCCGAGGTGGCCCAGGAGAGGCAGCTGGTGGCCAGGCCCGACTGCCCCTGCTGGGCCCCTTCCCTGCCGGTCAGGCCCAGGAAGTGGCACACGGACTCATACTCCCCTTCCGGGTCCTGAAACAAACACATACCACTCTTTAGAAAACGTGTTCCGTCGTCTACGGCACATATTGTTTACGAATAGGGTTCCATACTTTGAGGGCTCATTTTCCTTCAAATTTGGGGCGTAATTTTTTTTTTTCCGTGTCTATTTACGGTGTCGAACCAAAAAATTGCCCTTAATCGGGGCTTACATTGAAGGGATGGACCAACATGGGATTCCCCATGTTGGTCCACCATCGTAACTTTGACTGTAATTCGGAAAATGTTATTTATTTGATTCAATGTAAAAAATGCCTAATTCAATACATAGGAGAAACTAAAACAAGCATAAGAAAATGCATGAATCTACATAAAAGTCACATACGTAAACACGTTGCTGAACCAGTTTCTCGTCACTTAAACTCCGCAGGGCATAACTGACTTTCTGATTTTAATTTTATTATACTCCAGGGCGCTTTCAAACCACCAGAGATCGAAAATATAAAGAATCTGAATTTATTTATAAATTTAAAACTTTAGAAACGAAGGGCCTTAACAGTTCGAAAGGGTCATTGCAGTCTTTTTTTATGGACATTTAATTGAGATCTTCTAATCGGTGTGGCACTGTTGCTTTTCCTTTTTTTTATCACTTCATTGTTTAATGTGACATTGGCAAATGCTTAATATTAGGCCTCTCGTCGGCTTCACATGACACCAGGTATAGTTGGCTTATGTCCAACCACATGTCCCAAAAACTGGTTTTGTGATAATAATGGCGTTAATAATATTATATTTAATTACTTTAATACTTTTTACTGCCTTTTTATCGGGATATATTAAACTTTTAAGCTAGAATTTATGTGAGTAGATACCCGATAAACGGTAAGCATTTTTCCAATTACTTCTTCTTTTCGGCCGTTTTTTCTTCGATTGAAAAAAAAAGGAAAACAAAGCGTTCTTGTTTGGACTGACGAAGAACCTACCAGGCTCGAAATGTATCAGTCCAATCTGTCAATTCATTTGAATTTCTCATAGACAATGATTTCTTCCAGCATGCATAGTCGAACCCTTGCGGGAGAAACTTTAAAACCACTTTCTGCCAAGTACCATTCTCATTAATGACTGCACGAAGCAGCATTCCAAGTTTATGGTCCTTGAGAAAGAACTTGATACTTAAAGTCGAATATGTAGCACTCGTGATACTTTTTGCTACATTCTTTAATCATCTTCATTCAGGACTGCAGAAATGTTTCTTCTCAATTTTCCAACATTGCCTGCCCAATCACAAAACGTCGTCCTGTCCTTCTCTGTTCCTTCGACTTATATGCTCATTTCTGCCCCAGTCTCAGGTTTATTCAACATGGTGAAAATTAATCTAAAATTAATTGTTTTAATAAGGTGTCAGGCAACCACCCAATCAATATTTGCTGAAAAGTCACATATATTTTCAGCTTGCGATGGCGGGGGGGGGGGGGGGGTAATTGGTTATTGGCTTTAGGGTGCAATAACACCACCAAGAAATGCGGCAGAGTGTCATCTTATTGGTTTCCAACCAAGAAGTCTCTACGATGGAAGTGGGTCCGAGCAATCCGATGCGAACGCTGGCTTCTAGCGTTCGCAACATGCTAGAAAACAGTTCACACCTTGCTAGTAAATAAAATCCTTCCATGCCCTTCTGATTCGAAACGGCATCTGGATCCACATGTCGGCGAATCGCAAATGCAGCCCCTACGAGAGGTCCCCTCGGAGGCGACGATGGCGGATCGAATGCGAACAATGAATCGTCTGAAATCTCGTGTTGAGAATCTTAAAACGTTTCCTGGTCACTGCTTGACCGAGACGAGCTTGGTGAATCATAGTCCATTATTTCGCACGGACGATCGCGATGGCCTTCCGACTGCTTCTGACGCTGGGTGAAACAGGCTCAAACTGCCCACGTGCTAATGTTTATACAACCTCTGACGTCACCACAGGATGGCGTTTCAGTAAAGTAGCAGGTTAGTTTTGGTTTTGATTATATCATACTTCTACTATTAAACATTATTTAAAATATTATTGAGGATTTTATTCGCTGCCCTAGGCTCAGTTTTTTTGTGCTCTTTCAAGAAAATATGTTTAGTTGACAACACACAAATTAAATAAAGACTTAAGAGTGTTGGTGATCGACATTGACTTAAAACGAAAGAAACACACAAGAGGACGAAACAGACGACACAGCTCTTGCTTTCGAGAGTGACGCTCAAATTTCATTTAAGTAGAGGCGTGTGAACGAAGTTGGACTCAAGTGGCACAGGTGCCTCTGCAATGCTGCTAAAAATTGTTTGCTCATTTTTTTTTTCTTTTCTTTATTAGTTTTGTTTGGGATTTGTGTACGGATGCGGTGTCACCACCGCATTACTTAGGTGTGGTGAGTGACTTCATTCAATCTACGTTTGCGAAGGTTATCGGATTCGCGGTTACGTTAAACATCGATTGGAAAACAGATTAGGTGAGAGGAAACACATCGGCTACCCCAAAGTGACCCAAGCCGCAAATATTGATTGTAGCGCGAAATACAATTACAAATGTTCTGTATAAACAGACCAGAACGCGACACTCGGGGAAAGCTCTGGCAGCGGTGTCTTTCGCAAATAAAAACATGAAAAAAAAAAAAAAAAAAAAAAAAAAAAAAAAACTTGCGTCGGCCGGGAATCGAACCCGGGCCACCCGCGTGGCAGGCGAGTATTCTACCACTGAACCACCGACGCGATACGACAAATATATCTCGGATGCCTATGTTACTTCTATTTAACACAATGTTAAAATTGTTTGCCCCGAGAAGTTGTTGTTGGGCTCCACTAAAATTACAAGAGGCGTCACCTAGAACTGAAAATGTCGAAATTTACGCGGACGTAATTTGCGCGACGCTCCGAACGTCCGCGAAGCGTATGAACGGGCTGATAATGCGGCGCGTAAAGAGGGAAAACAGACATAACCGGGAGCGCACGCAAAAGCTCTGTGTACGCAAATAGCGTCGTCGCCACTGCTAATTCGCCAAACGCTAACCACGTTTGGCGTAGTGCCAGTAGTGCTCTAGTTTTGCGTTTTGCGTGCGCTATTCTAGCGTACTACGCTCCAAGTTGCGTTCCTCCAAGATGGATTCGTAATGAGTTGGCTAAAGCCAAGACGAGCGGAGTTAAAAAAATGGCGACTCCCAGGAATATGGCGGCGTTAGCGGCGTCGTGAGCGAGCCGTCGGCGACATCCTCGCGACTGCGATTTTCAATACGGGACGACGTTGCAGTCGTCTTGGGAAACCCAGTAAAGGGCAACGATCGCCGGTAACTTGATGCTTGCGACGCACGAACATTTCTCGGCGAAGGTACGGTGTGCGAAGGTCAGTACACGAGACCTTTCTGCGAATGGACACGACCGGTCGACCGTTCGCATCACATTCTCATGTTTGAACAAATCTAAACTGTTACTATGGGCCAAAAAAACAAAACAAAAAAACAAACAAACAAAAACTTGTTTTTTCCTCAAGTTACAGCATTTCGTGCGTGAAATAAAAATTGTGACTATCTTGGTGGCGTTGCAAGCGCCAGATGCTTGGGCCGCTTGGGCCATAGAGTTGTTATAATGTACGCTAGAGGTTCAACTGGCGCTAGTGTCTATGCGACTTCCGTGACGCAAGTTGAAGCAGACAGCAACCAGTCTACTTTGCCGGTGCTCCTGTGCACTCCTATAGGAAAACGCGCATGCATTTTGTCTCTTTGCTGAAATATAACACAAAACTATTGGTTATTTGGGTCGTACCGAATAGTATGTACCTTGATTAACACTGTAAAGGTGTAATTGCTTTAGTTGGCACATTCTTCTTTATCAGTGAACAATGTTTAACTTCGCTACATTTCTGTCCCAAACGTATGTTCTGCAGCAGGTGTGTAAAAACAAGTGACAATTCAAAGCAAAATTACAATCAAAAGAAATATAGAGTGTGTTCAAGGCTCGCCAGCATTCCAATGTCGCTAATATATTGATAATATGCCAGTCCTGTCACCATATGAAAATGACCCCGCCGTGCATGAGCGAATAAAAACATTCAAAACATAGAGAATAAAGTCCGTGGGCTACGAAAAGTTTTCTCTGCCGGGCAGCTTTTATCGGGCACTTGTTCTCAAAGATTTCGAGCGTGCGGGTGATATTTTGAACGTAGAACAAGCAGCTTCGCTCAGAGCAGAAAGAATAAAGTGGTACTTACTTATTTAAAGTCAGAATAGATTACATGGCCTTCAATTAATTTTGATCTACATGCACGGGTAGTTACTGATCCAGTGTTACTGCACAGTTCTTGCCGTCTCCCTTAATTTTCAGATGTTCTTCATTCGTTTGGCACGTATATCCCTCATGCTGAAAAGCGCCGACGTCGTGTTCGTGCTAACAGTGTCCGACAGTGCACATAAATACACGTACGAAGGTGTTTCAGCACCGTTTTTAATGCAATGAATTTGAAAGAAAAACGCCGTAACTGACCATTTATTTTGTCGGCCTGACTGAGAAACTTTCTAAGCTACCTAGCACGTATGAATTGAGATATTTGCTGCTATGATTGAGCGCAGGGAGAAAATGCACTCACTTTTTCCCATAGAAATGCATTACCGGGAGTCAGTTTTTGACTGGTTGCTGTCTGCTTCAATTTGCATCAGCACACTAGTGCCACTTGAACCTCTAGGTACATTATAATAACTCTATGGCTTGGGCTCACTGATCACAATGACAATTGCTGGATCGCGCTTCCCGCTCCCGCGAGTGAAGCCACCGGACGGCTATCTTGCTTGTAGAGGATTTGCAGTTTTGCTGGTGCTACAGAGGCTGGCGGCAGCATGCTGAAGACACTTTTTCTACTCATTCGTTGTCATTCGTCCAAGATGATTTTTAAGACTACTTGCCGTTGAGAACACGTGAAATTTTTTACGAAAGTCCAGTGCAGCAGAAAAAAGCCACAAAAAATAAATGAAGATTTTGTACTACTGATTTGATTGCTATAAGCGTCTA